CAGCGCTAAGAAGCGATGACTGAAAAGCACGACTAAAAATGACAAGCTAAAAGCCGCATGGCTAAAAAGCAAATAACTAAAAAGCATGACTAGAAGCGAAAAGCTAAAAGCTAGACACAAAAAGCATAGTTTGATGGTGTTCCGAGTATTTAAACCAGGCTGTTTAACACACCCCAAATGGTGTTTTGACCAATTAGATGTCGTGTTTGCTCGGGGTGTTGTATATTTCTCCTCCCCATTCATAAATCAACTGTTATCTCATCATTCACATGGTCCGTGGTTTCCCGCTCTGACAGAGTATACATTTGGACATGATTTCTATAACAAGAATATGATACATTTGACAACGAAGTGATTAGAATAAACGTTTCAAGCATGAATTCTCAAACTCACACATACCAAACCTGAATACGAACCATTAAGCGATTCAATAGTTATTAAAAATACATACACAATAAATGATTAAGACCTGATAAGTCACATGTAGGTTACATACATGATATGGAGTTATATATAGCAATGATTAGTTTCTCGAGTCCTTTTAGTGTCATTTAGGTGCATGGAAAGGCAGTTTCCGTGCCATTCTGTGAATGTATGAAGACCAGAGATTAAGAGGTCTGTAAGGAATCTCTGAAAGTCTGTTCTTTGTCGTGACGTGGAGGATGCCAATTCTCAAGCGCTCGTGACTGTAGTTACTATCATGTGATGGTCATGCGGTCATCTCTTTGACCATTTAATCTTGATTACTTGCCCTAAAATTGACAATCTCCTTCCTGAGTTGTTTTGATCAGTGTGTTCCTTTTGTGTTAATGTTGAAAGCTGTTCTGTGAAAGAGTTGGTTAGGCTTGCTTCAGACTGGCTAGTCCTCGGGTCTGATTTATGACATCCTGTTGTCTTAGGCCACTGTGGAATTTGGGCTCCTCAGGTTTCAGCCATGTTTGACCAAATCTTAGATTGTCTGATTCGGTCTGATATCCTACAATGTGCTTGACAGATTGTGGCGTGGAAAATTTTGCACTGATGTTTTTAATTTTGTTAATGAAAAGTGGCAAAGTCGTCAGCTATTAGAGTTGATGCAGGAGGGGAAGCAGGAGGACAAAAGAGCGAGGAAAATGTTTTAAAGAGCATGCGAGAGTTAGACGAATTATTAATTTTGTTATAGTAGTATGTCCTTTTAGCAGTAGAGACATTAGCAGTGAAGGAAGAGAGGACTGACTGATACACATTAAGGTCAGTAGGACTTTTGGATTTGGACACACTCTTTCAGCAGCCCTGAATTTAGAACGAAGATTGCGGAGAACATCAGATAACCAAGGGGCAGAAGGGGTGGTACGGGCTGGCCTGGAAGACAAGGGACAGACAGTTTCTAAACAAGATATCTGGAGCAGAACGTATCAGTAGCACTGTTAGGGGAAGGAAGTGAAGATGAAACCATAGCAAATAGCCGGGAGGGTGAGAGTGAGTGTAGGTTTATGTAGGATGTAACTGTAGGATGACATGTGGAGGGGTATGTGTTGTGTCAGGAACCATGTTGAGGTTAAGAGTGAGGAGGAAGTGATCCGAGGTGTGCAGTGGAGTAACGAGCACATGATCAGTGGAGCAGTGTCGTGTGTAAATAAGGTCCAGTTGGTTGCCTGATTTGTGAGTAGCAGCAGTTGACACTCGTTTGAGATCAAAAGAGGCAAGCAGAGTGTGGAAGTTTGCAGCCTGAGGTTTATCTAGGTGGATGTTGAAGTCTCCAAGCATAAGAGTACCATCCTCAGGAAAGGTTGGGAGCAACACATCTAATTCATCCAAGAAGTTTCCTAGTGGTCCTGGGGGTCGATAAACAACTACAAAATTGATTTTAAGAGTGTAGGTAATAGTAACTGAATGAGATTCATAGCAGACAGGCAAAGTGTGTAGGTTGTTAGGATTGCGCTGCCTACAGTGTGTGAAACGTGGTTTGCGAGTAGTGGCGATAGTAGGGATCTGGAAAATGTTATTACATCATTAATTTCAGGATTTGTACAACTTTTTGAGAGAGAAATCCAAGCACTTTTCAATGACTTTCAAGTATTCCACACAATTATTTCCAGCACTTTAATGCTCTAAAAATTATCCAGTTTAAATGTAATTTTTAATGGGACAAAACACAATGTATATCAAAATATGTTTTTTTTTTTTGCAAAACAAACCCTTATGTAAAATAAGATAATAAAAATACATCAAATTACCCCTATAACCAGTAGGTGGCAGCAGAGTAGCACTTATTGGCTTATTTGTCATTCATTTCTACTTGCTTTATATTTTGAAATTATAAAATAACTATTTTGAAACATCAAATCATCAAGAAATCACATTTTTTCAAAGGTTTGCACTATGTTTGTGTATGTAGTAAGAAAAGTCACAAAACACCAAACTTTTCTTCACTTTGCGATTGAATCGCACATCAATTAAAATCTCTGATGTTGTCAGTCAGTTATAAATAATACTATAAAAGAATAATGGTACATTTAGTAAGTGTAGAATATATTAATAAATAGATTTTGCACATTACTGATGTTAGTAAAGTACATGTTGCATGCTTTCCCATCTCAAGCTCAGTGCTTTACTGTCAAACGTGTATTACAAAGAAATAAGCATGTAATATTATTAGTAAATGCTCTTATTAATGCAAAACAGTAGTAATTTTATGATTTAATTCTCTTTATTTTTGATACCCCAAACACCAGCCCCAGTGCTACCAAACCTGCTTTTGGCGCCACCGTCTATAGAACTTATGGAGCTTTTCCACTGTGTTGTACGACTCTGCTCGGCACGGCTCAGTACAGCACGGCTCGGCTCGCGTTTCCACTGCAGCTTAGTACCGCTTTAGAGTGGGGGGGGGATTATTCACATGTCATTATAGTTGCGCCGCCTCTACTGCTGCGACTTCTGAAAAACGTTTTCATTCCGCATCGCCCCATCAAGCTCTCGCTGGATCCACTCCTCTGCTATCAACGAGAGGAAAGTCTGTACTCCCTCAACAGACCACAAAACAGCCATTTTTTTGTTGTTAAAAAAGTTTGCTCGTTCAAAACAGTTGCATTCGATCCTTCGCTGGCTGTGCTGATTTAAATCTAGCGGTTCTGTTGTGTTTGTGTTGCAAATTTAGTGACGCAGGTAGTGGTGATTCTCTCCGGCCAATCAGCATAGTTTACACGTCATGTTTTGGTAATGGTACGGTTCACTTGGAACCTCAACCGAGGTGGTACTAAAACAAAGTACCAGGTACTGTACCCAGTGGAAAACCCCCCAAAAGTGAACCGTACCGTGCCGTTCCAATGCAGTGGAAAAGCGCCATTAGTGGTGCTCGTGCCACTGCTAACAAATGTTAGTCTGGAGCCCTGCACTGTTACATTAGGGTTCACTTTTATGTTCACATTTCTTAGCTTTTAACAAGATACTGAAAATGAACCATTTTTACTTTTATTTCAGAGTTCATTGAAGAAAAAGAGGAAAATGAAGAATCAAGTGATGTTGAGGAGAAAAATCATGTCAAAACTGGAGAAAAACCTTTGAGTTGCTCTCAGACCAAACAGAAAGATTTAATGAAAAGAAGAGCCAAGACATCTTTCACCTGCACTCAGTGTGGAAAGTGTTTGACGAGCAAAACAGGTCTTGAGCGTCACATGAGAGTTAATACTGGAGAGAAACCGTTCACTTGTGATCAATGCGGGAAGAGTTTCACACAATCAGCAAACCTTAAGGTACACATGAACATCCACACTGGAGAGAAACCGTACACATGTGATCAGTGTGGTAAAATGTTTTTATGGGCTTCAGGTCTGAAGAAACACTTGAAAGTTCATACAAAGGAGAAGCCACATTCATGTAAGTTGTGTGGTAACAGTTTTTTGCATCTACAAAATTTGAAAGTACATCAGAAAATACATACTGGTGTGAGAGAATACATGTGCTTTGAGTGTGAAAAGACTTTTACTACAGCAAACTGTTTAAAACTGCATGAAAT